TGTGTCAAGAGCTCTGACATTGCCCATTCTGCCACTGCTGTTGTTGAAGTTTCAATCCCACCTATCATGTCCTGTGAGAATTTTCATTAGCAGAATTAGCGAGGTTGATGTCGGAAATTCGGAAATTGGTTCAGAGGATTGTAAGTAAAAAGACTTATCATGATCCCCTACAGGGAAAAGGCAAAAACATGAGCACCAGTGTGGGTGGTACCATTGCCCTCTTAAAACTGTCCGAAACTCTGAAGTCGTTTATCTCTTAGCCTTAGGTCTTAAGGAACGTTATATGTAAATGTCAAATAAACTCAAAATAAGATTAAAAGAAAAAAAAAAATTATCTAACAGATCTTTTGTTATTCTTAAGGTCTCTTGTATTGTCTTTTTTTTTGTATTGTCTTTGATTGAGTGAGTTTAATGCCAATGTTAGAAAGGGGTTAGACTTAATATCCAAACCTGTAGCACTGCTTTGATGTGTTTCCTTGTGAAGTGAAACTCAAGGTTTGGGTTCTCCAAGAGCTCCATTAATACGTCAAACATTGTTCTAACTTTTGAATCTTTTTGTTTATTCTGCCCCATTTGAGCATCGTCTATTATGTGATCCAGTAAGTTGTCGAATTTCTTTCGTAGTGTCTTCATCTTCTTCCCAAAGCCTTGGAGATCCAAGAAATTGATCCATGGAATCAAATCTCCAATGTTTAACGCACCAGTGAGCAAGAACAACTGATCAAAAGTCCTTGGCAGCTCATCCGAATCCACAACCCCTTGTTCTGCTGGTGACTCATTCAGATACTTCTTGCCTACGACCATCCCACATATTGTGTTGAAACCAGAAATGGAGAGGAAATGCTTGATGATAATTGCTTGTACAACAATAATAACATAGTGCATGCCAACCCATTGCTCAATAGGCAGAAACATTAAAAAAAAGATTGGTTTTTTGAACTTTATGTTTTAGAACACTAACGCCCATCAATCCTCCTCCCCCCCCCTCCCAAAAAAAAAAAAAAACCTCGCAGAACAGAAGCAGTGCATTAATTTTGGCATTAAAGCATTTGATTTGCAATGTTCCCAATTTCTCACCTTTCTTCTCTACTATTTGAACATTTGAATGTTGCTTTCTTAATTTCCATGGTCGATTAACTACATTCCATCATTCAACATAACTTACTAGAAGTTCTGCATAATTTGCTATTGCTATGTTTAACCTAGATTAATTAATAATTTCATTACATTGTATTAGAGCTCAAGATGAAGAAATTAGCAAAGCATTAAGAGAAGTGTTGATGCAACTAGAAATGAGGGTGATTGAACTGAATCAGGTTAATCGACCATCTCTTAGTATATGGATGTACTATGGTACCCATGCAAAAGCACTCCTTTTTTTTTTTTTTTATCGTAAATGAAATATAAGTTGGTGATTAAAATATTAATATGTATAGTCATCAAATCTATATGATTTAAGTTATTGTTGTACTTTATGCGAGCAATTTTATAATACAGATGTGATGTTTGTTTATGTACATCCCTCTTGATCTAGTAGTAATAGTTGAGACCCGACAATAGAGAAATTCGGATTTGGACGAGGCCTTGACCGATCCGTCCGATGAGTGCATTGCATAAGGATCAGTTTAATTAGGATGAGGGTGACCCAACCCGGATCAATCTGTCATTAGGCCTAAATGTTGAATTGATTTGGATTCGATCTGGATTTAACTCTGAATTTAGTAGTCACATATACATATACTAGTTTTTTTTCGTGCCTGAAGGCACAGATTAATAAAAAAATAGTCAATAATAAGCATATTTGTATTCGCATCTAAAATCGAATTACAAAGATAGAGGATAGAGAAATGAATTGAAGCACCAGTAATAGTGGAGGGCAAGAGTGATGATGGTGGTGGGTGGCAGTGGTGGTGGTAGATGACAATGATGGCAGTGATGGGTGATGACGACCGGTTGTGATGGTAGCAACCTTGGATGGCAAATGGTGATGATAGTGGTGGAACTGTAGGGGTAATGGTGGGACAATGACGATGGTGGTAAGGTGGTGGCAGTGGTGATGATGGGGATGGTAGTGGTGGGGTGTCAATGGTGGTGGTGGGGCTGTGAGGGGGTGGTGACAATGGTAGGGTGGTGGGGTGGTGGCGGCGACGGTAGTGGTGGTGGTTGGGGCAATGGTGGTAGTGTTGATGATGTTGGTGGTGGGGGTGGGGGTTGTAGTGGTGGGGGTTGTAGTGGTGGTGGTTGGTTGGTTGCAAATACTATTTTTTTTAAAAAAAAAATACTTATGAAAAGTTATAAGTTTTAGAAACACTTTTAAAATGTCAATCCAAAAACACCCTTTAAGGGTTTTTTCCTATTAAATTTGAGGTGTTAATATTAGCTATTGAATTAATTTTAAGATAAAATTTAAAGAGATTTTCACCGCGAAAAGCAAAAGTCATTTTGTTTATCTTTTGAAATTTGAATTGTATTGTACTTTATTATATAGACTAGTTATTATATGTGTCTGAAGGCACAAAATAATAAAAAATAGTAAACAATAAACATATTTGTATTCATATCCAAAATTAAATCATAAACATAAATGAGAGATAAATAAATTTAAGCATCGATTGTAGTGAGGGTGACAAGTGATGGACAGCAGTGGTGGTGGTATAAAACAGTGATGGTTGTGATAGGTGGCAATGATTGTGTTGGTAGTAGCGGAGGCAGTGGTGGTGGTGGTGGCGACGACAGCGACGGTGGTGGTGGTGGTGACGACGACAATGGTGGTAACGACGGTGATGGTGATGGCGGCATTGGTGGGGTGCGACGGTGACAACAGTTGCGGCGGTGGTGGTGGTGGTGATGGTAAAAGTGATGGTGGAGTGGTTTCAAACATTATATTTTAAAAAAGTACTTATGAAAAATAATTCTTAAAAATATTTTTAAAAAGTCACTCCAAACACACTGTTAGAGCCCTATTTTTTCTATTAAATTTAGGGTGTTAATATTAGGTGTTAGATTAACTTTAAAGTAAAATTTAAAGCGATCTGAACCGCAAAAAACAAAAGTCATTTTTGTTTATCTTTTAAAATTTGAATTGTAAACTACTTTATTATATAGAATAATTATTTCTCATGTCTTAAAGTACAGAGTAATAAAAATAGTCAACAAAAATATATTAATATTCATATGCAAAATCAAATTACAAAAATGGAGGAGAGAAAAAAGAATTTAAACACCAGTTGTAGTGGTGGCGAGTAGTGATAGTGATGGTGAGTGATAGTGGTGGTGGTGAGAAACGGTGATGGATGTGGTGAGTGACGACGATCGTGGTGGAGCCTATTATCCCTATTAAATTTGGAAAGTTAATATTAAACATCAGATTAACTTTAAAATAAAATTTAAAACGATCTGAACCACAAGAAGCAAAACTCATTTTATTTATCTCTTGAAATTTAAATTGTATTGTACTTTATTATATAAACTAATTATTGTCTATGCCTGAAGGTACAGAGTAATAAAAAATAGTAAACAATAAACATGTTTGTATTTTTTATTTTTTTTGGGGAGAGTGAAGGGAACTTAAACCATTGACTTTAAGAATGCAAAACCTTTAAAAGACAAAGAGTACCATTGAACCAAAGGTCCATTGGTATATTTGTATTTATATCTAAAATTAAATGACAATATATATAAGAGATAAATGAATTTAAACATCGATTATAGTGAGGGTGAGAGGTGGTGGATGACAGTGGTGGTGGTAGGAGATGGTAATAATTGTAGTGGGTAACAATGACCATAGTGGCAGCGACGGTGGTGTTGGTGGCGGCGGTGATAGTGGTGGTGGTGGTGGTGGCAATGGTAGTGGCGATAGTGACAACAACTGGCAGCGGCAGCGGCGTTGGTGGTGGTGGTGATGGTGGGGGGGGTGACGGTGGTGGTGGTAGAGGCATTGGTGGGTGGGGGTGGGGGTGGTAGAGATAGTAGTGGAGCGGTTTCAAACACTTTTTTTTTTAAAGTATTGTGAGAAATAATTTTTAATAATCCTTTTTAAAAGTCACTTCAAACACACACTTAAGTGCCTATTTTTCTTATTAAATTTAGATTGTTAATATTAACCGTTAAATTAACTTTAAATTAAAATTTAAAGGGATCTGAACCACGAAAAACAAAAATTATTTTGTTTATCTCTTAAAATTTGAATTATAAACTACTTTATTATATAGATTTTAATCGATTATCTCAATCCAAATATGAATCCATTTATGTAATAATTTTCCAGGCCTGCAGATCTGCTTGATATCTAGGTTTTTTTTCTTTTTAGTACAATGGAAAATTAAAAGGAGAGCCACAAAGGCTCTCTAACAAAAGAAATGCTGGCCAAATCAGCCTTAAACCCAATAGTAATCTCCACCGGAGGACTAATGTCGAACCCCTAAAATAGCAAGTGCATCGGCACATTGATTTCTTTCCCGAAGAATATGTCTCAGAAAACTATTTGAGACTCCAAGCAATCTCTTGCAGTTCGCAATCAACACCCAGATATCTAGTTTTACAAGTAAGAATCAATCTCAAGTTTTTTGATCGATTCTATTATCCTTTTACTCGATTTGATTCAATGATTAAATCAAGACTTGACCTAATTGGATCATAATTCCCCCCCCCCCCCCAAAAAAAAAAAAATGTGTCTTCTGATAATGTGCAAGCTTTGAACCCTCTTCAATCTAAATCTCAATGCACAAAAAGAAAACAAGTAATAAAAAACTTCTGTAATCTCCTCTTCTGAATGGGATGACATAAAACCTATATGGGTTTCAGATGAACCCCATTTCCATCTCGCAAGTAGAAGGAAGATAAATTAAAGAGTGGGAGAGGATCGAATTGAGCATATTATTGTAAAGTGTAAACTATTTTTGCTCATTTCAATTGCTAACATATTATTGCAAACTTCTCGATTGTTGAAATGCTTCTAAGCGTCTCCATGCTTGTTCCAGCAAACAAGCATTGTGATGCATCGTTTGACGATGTAGAATTTGGCCCTCTGTTCTTTGGCCAAGCTGCTACATTTTCGGGTGAAATCAGCGCATTTCTGTGAAGAACTCCTTGATAGAGGAGACTTGGAAGCACCGCTCCTTTGCGAAGAACTTCTGGAGAGAGGGGACTTGAGAGAAGTGGTTTTCTGCGAAAAACTCCTCAGAAGAGGAGATTTTGAGGTTGAACTCTTCTGGGATATGCTTCTCACGAGAGAAGATGACTTGGAAGAATTACAAGAATGGGTACTTGGATCTTCCTTTGATAGTCTCCATCTCTCATCCATGTAGTACTCCATACCCCACTAGAGAGAGAGAGAATGATGATGATAGACAATGCTGAGGTGAGAATTTATAGCAATTTAGGGACAATGGTTGGAGGAGCTTGCATGTGGGTGTTACAAGGGTTTCTTTAGCTTTGGCAGAAGCTCAGACTACTAACTTATTAAAACTATACTACTAACTCACTCCCTACCAAATTTCCTAGTAATTAAGTTAGATAACATTCAAATAAATAAATAAATTTAAAAGCACATAACATTGAACCTGCGTATGGAATGGAGATCCATCATCTCTTATGGGGATGCGTCTCCTGTATGGTGTTCCATAGGACAATGTTCTTTTTAATTTATTTTTTTTTCTATTATATTTTGTGTTCTTTCAAGAGGCAGCACAGACACGTACACTTGGAGGAGAGTAATTCTTTGGGAGTAGGTAGGTAGATGTGTGACAGGTATTTGAATAATTCACAATTTGTTCAGATCCGATGGCAATTGGGCAAGAGGTCGGTGCCTTCTGGAAATCTGAGCATTTTCATTTTACATAATAGACATATATTATCATGATTTTTATTACTTCTGCTCATGATAACTCCTATGTGTGATTGTAAAGAGGTGATATATGAAGGAGGAGAGGGAGAGAGAAAGAAAAGAGATCCAAAAGAGGCCAAGAGAGATGAACTTTTAATGGTTATGAACTAGGCTCGTAAACCGTGTCAAGTCTTAACGAGTTCGTGTTAAAAAAATTTATTCATATTCTATTCACTTATTAATTCTTGTCTAATGAGTCATGTCATATTAAGTTCGTGTATAATCTGTATATAATTAAGTCATGTCGTTTATTTTTTTATTGACTTCGATAATATTCGATTCGTTTATTAATCGTGTTTTGTCAGGTTCACTCGTTTAAGAAACAGATGGCTTAAAAAAATTCAAACTCTCTAACTTTGTGTTAGATTCGCGTATCGTATTAACGAGTCGTGTCATATTTTAACACCCCTAGTATAAACAGTTAAATGCAATTAAAGAGTGAGTTTTGAAAATTAGAGAAAAAGAAAATAGTGGTATCGTAGGTATTTACATAGAGTGAATACGAAAACCGTCTTTCCTTGTATTAATAATAATAAATATCCAAAAAAAAAAACTCAATATACAGAGTTTTGTCATAATAAATATTAGAAAAACTACGTTGTAATACATTGGAGATGCTTATTACTTAGGGTTTATAGTGTTCTTTGTTTGACATTGAATGGTCAATCCTTGTAATAATAAACAAGTTTGGCAAATCTAAGTAACATGTTGTTATGTGTGAAGCCCGATTGTTAACACGTTCTTGGAGGTTAGGTTTTAGTGTTAGATTTCGAGGTACAAACAGTTTGGTTATGGTTACCTATACATTTAATATACAATGGTGTATATTATTGTAACCCATTAATTTAGATTACAAGTACATGAGTAAACACCAGGAGAAGGACGATTCTGAATATAGCATATAGAGTATTAATTAATTAATATAATTAATTTAATTTAATTTAAATTTTAAAAAATAAATAAAATAATTTTTATTTTATGTAATTAAAATCTCTTTAAATTTTATTTTAAAATTAATTTGATAATTAATATTACACCACCATCACTATCGCAACAACCACCACCATCACCGTCGCTAGCCTACTACACCCATCACCCTACCAACACCATCACCACTATCACCACCCCTATTGCCCCACCACTACAAGCACCACCATTGTCACCGTCACCTCACCACCACCTCTGTTACAACAACCCTTATCGTTACCACCATCGCCCCACTGCACTACCGTCGCCTCCATACCACCACCACCACCGTCCCCACTCCCACCACAGCTGCCGCACTCTATCACCACCATCACTCTTACCACCCCCATAACCATCACTATCATTGTCGCCAACCCCTACCACCATCGCCACCTACCATTAATTGCTATGACCATCATCCATTGCCTCCACTTATCATCATTGTCATCTTATTCTTATATTTATTACGACTACCACCATCATCCCACTACCACCGTCACCCACAGTCAACACCTACAACCACCCACCGTCATCCACTACCACAACACACCACTATCCATCGTCGTCCACCATCACCACCGGCCACTGTCACCTACCTTCACCATGCGTACCACCATCACCACTCGTCATCGTCTACTATTGTCATCATCCACTATCACTCATCCCCACCACCATCACCACCGTCATTCGTCAACGTCCATTACACTGTAGCCTAAAAGCAGCAGCCGTCGTCGCTTACCACCACCATCATCACCCAAAATCCATCACCACCGCAGTCATCGCCACCACCACAATCATTACTATCTTCCACCACCATTACTGCCACCCACTCTGACTACCACTGTTCACCCCTATTACTATTGGTGCTTAAGTTTTTTTTTTCTTTTCTATGTTTGTGATTTAATTTTAAATGTGAATACAAATATGTTTATTGTTGATTTTTTTTTTATTCCATGACAATAACTAATAATTCCATAAAGACTATCATAATCACTTAAATGGGTCAAGTACTATGTACTAAATTGGTCAAAGAAAGTGGTAGATGGGTCAAATTTTAAATTTTGCTCTCCTATCACATGGCGTGTACTAGATGCGTCATACAACGCACCTTTCATATTGAATCCCTCTGGTTTTTCTGGATTTTTGCCGAGTCATGTGGCTTGAGGATATAAGTATTTGAAGGCCCTCGTGCAAACATGTGGGCCACACACACACACACACACACAAGGAGAGAGAGAGAGAGAGAGAGAGAGATGAACTTTCAAATACTTCACAACAAATACAGGTTAAGCGTTCTATAATTCAGCTTTGGTGTAAGTGCACCTTTAAGAACACCGATCAGCCAGCACTATTGCTTTTCCTCCTAAACAAGCATAGTTCGTGCATGGATTATGAAGCAGATACAATCAACGCCAGCAGGGTCAAGGTAGACAGGAAGCAGTTGCACTATCGTCGCCGCTAACTGGAATTAGGAGGTTATGGCGATGAACAATGAGCGGATCGTCATCATTGTACGGGAGAACTCCAATCTAACCAACCTCAAGGGATCAGCGTAAAATTTACTCTACTAAAATACCATATATTACATAGCCTGTCTGGTGTCATTTAGTAGGAAAAAAAATAGCTGTAACCAAAAGTGTTGTTGAAATAATGCTGCAGCTCTACCCTGTCCACACCACCAGTACCACAAATAAACACCCTACTCCAGCCCTCCCAAGCCTACCGTTTTCACCGAATTCGACTACAAGGTGGATTCTAAAGGTTTAGTGTATCACTCACCACCACAACCGAGTCATTTGATACAACACTAGACAGCCACGCCCCTGTTATATATCCGCATGTAACTTTGCAACAAGGAATCATCAAAGCATAAATCAGTGATTGCCTTATTATATACTCAATAATATTCTGCTAACCAAAATCAAGACTAAACAACTAATACAATACCAGGTTTCTAATAAAAATTCCACCCAATACAATCGGAACTAAAAAGAATCAACTCGAGGATCCAAAGACACTAAATGATGAGAAACAGCATGGTACTAAAAATTAGAGCCCTAGATCGTGGAGAGTTGCCCACTTACTACATCATGCTAACCCTTTATTACCACATAGGCAAAAATTTATTTACTGGGAACAAATGATGAATTAGGGACACCTTATTCATGACTTGGAGGCAAGCTGCAAGACTTACTAAGTTGTCGAACTTGTACAGCGGGATTAGTCAAGCTGAGATTCTGCGACTTTGAAACCATGGTGACCATACTAGGTGTATCATAGCCAGTGAAACCAGAGTTCCCACCTCCACTCAGCCCAACTATCTGAGTCGTCATGTCTCCCCTAGTTGTGGCCCTCTGCCAAGAGTGCGAGCTTAACCCCGAGAGTACATAAGCTCGCCCTGTGTGTTCATAGAGCTCCATGTTTGCCATTCTCTCCCTAATTTCTATCAGCTCGGCTTCAAGCCAGTTGCAGAGACCATCACCTGCTTGGGCAGATGCTGAGGAGAGCAGAGTTGATCTCCTGTTTGCCAGCACAGCCTGTGCACCTACCAGATTTCCCATCTCTGCCATCTCTTGTGCCTCTGAGATACCTTCTGCCACCAATAGGCGATTCCTCTGCCGATCAACCTCCAAGCTCACTACAACATCTGCAGGAGACAGAACCTTAGGTCGACGTATCTCAACTCTCCTGCCGTCTACCTGCACCATCTCCTTTGAGACGGTATCTTTGTAAGAACACAAGAGATCCAACAACAATGTCTTTTCCACCCTTCCCTCATCCACAGCAGATAGACATCTGGCAATTGACAAGTAGACAAGAAATTCTTTCTCCTCATCCGCATACAGGTCTCCAACATTTATTACACCTTGCTGTCCATCTTCCGAAATCTCACTTACATATTTTCCAGAGGGTATGGAACCAATACACACATCAGATGATATAGATCTCACAGTCAGTCGAAGCTCTTGAGCTACCACGCTGAGAAGACCACCAATGCAACGGGCAAAGGCATCTTGCAGAATGCCGACAGACTCGATGAATGAAAAAGTACCTCCTGATGCATCAGATATTGCATGCATGGCGGTAGAATCATGGTCTGAGCCAAACCCAAATGCGTGGACCGGGATAGTTGGCAGACGTGCCTCATCTCGAGCTTCTTCATTCCAAGAGCAGATGGAAATTGGCAACAGGTTTAGATATTCCAGAACCCGCCTTGGATTTGAGGAACTCTGATTCTGTGAACTGTTGTGATGGTTATTACTATTGTAGTTGTATGTGTCTCTCCCATCAGAAAGGAGGATGATGCTTTGAACTGGGTTCTGTTCATGACGTTCTTCAAGAACCCGGACCCCTTTCTTGAGACCTTCCACAATGTTGGTTCCACCATATGACGAAAGAGAATTGATGGCACGGGTAGCATCTTCACGACCACTATCAGACATCCTGCGAAGAGGGAAGATTCTTCGAGCACCCGATGAGAAGGTGACAATAGAAAGCCGATCAGATGGGCCCAAGTTTTGAATGACAAATCGAACAGCACACTTAAGGAGTGCAAGCTTTGAACCAGACATGCTGCCACTAACATCCAGCACAGTGACAAGGTCAATGGGAGCGCGCTCAAGGTGGCGCACATCATCTAACAAAGGTGGTGCCCGCACACCCACAAGAACAGCAAAAGTTGAAACAGATTCTGAAGCTGCAATCGCAGGAGCCTCGGGAAATGCCATGACTTTTACGGCATGGGAGTGAGCACCAGAGGTGGGCGAGCTGGGATCAGTAGTGATGGTAGGGAGAGGCTCATCATCTGAGAAGTGGAGAGGCTCTGGGCAGGGTGGCGATGATGCTGGCAAGTTACGAGGAACATTGGCCTGATGATGTTCCGGAGGGCCGCGATAAGGAGACACGCGGGCTCTGCCTGTGCCATTATGTTGAGGACCACCATTACTGGTGGGAAACTGGAAGGGGATATCTTTCCATTTGGAGCGGCAGTTAGGGCAAACACGATTCCCATGCCTAACGCTGTCAGCTATGCAGCTGAAGTGAAAGGAGTGGGAGCACTCGGCTGTGAAGATGGCTTGGCCCTGCCCCGTCTTTAAATTTCCCAAGCAAATGGCACACGTTTTCTATAACCAACCACAAGCATATTTGACTAGAGGGTCCTTTATACAATTACTTTCCAAAACAAACTGAAGCACGCAACATTAAGTGAAGAACAAAAGTAGTTTCAAAACATACGAAGAAGTGGTTAGTACCAACAAGGATATTATCACAAGAATGATTTTACCACTTCGAATGGTTAGTAACAAAACCAAAATGACCTATTTATTAACTACTACTACAAAATTTTGCTTCCTAAGTGATATACTTAACCCTTAAATGTTAGATATTCTCAGAACCCCTAATTTGATGGTGGTGGGTGGGTGTGCCACCTTACCAAGTGAGCCAAATTTGCTAATAAAAGTATTTGGTCAGCTTAGCAAAGTTGGTAGCAAAAACTGTCCTAAAAGCTAGCAAATTAGAAACTCTTTAAAAGTAAGTAATTCCAGCAGGCATCATGATGTAAACTTGCAATGATTGACCAAAAGCTTGATTGAAACTTCAAACTCCAGAGTCCAAAGTGGGTTTATCGTCAACTTGTGAGAATTATTTTAGTTATCATAGTCGACCATTGTATTTTCAATTGACCAGATAAATGTTGACTGAACGTAGATATGCACGTTCTACCAACGCCAAGTAAACAACATACTTTACCAGAAATATGTATTGAGCATTGTACTCCATTACCATCCAATTGTTAAACAACACAGATGTGGGCCCTACTCTTTTTCATCAAATACAAGGATGAAGACTCCTTAGGATTAAAATTATCCTGACTTTAAACCGACGTGAGTTTTGCCTACAGCTAGGATAAATAGAGCACTGCTACTCTTACCAAAATTTAGACTTACCAAATGAATGTGTTTGATTAGTAGGTCCATTAACCTTTTCTAATTGGACTTACTGATCCAATCACCCACATTTATTTGGTAAGCAACTTTTGGTGAAGGATTTAACAAGCACATCTAAACTCGCAAACCCACAATAACATTTATACTAAGAAGAAGATTAGAAAAGAAATCAATAGCACATTTAACCATCCTATGGAAAATTTTACTGAGATAGAAACGACCCAATATATGGTTTCACATCATCCTATCCTATCTTTGTGGGATAGACCCAAAAAAAAAATGTCTTTTTCTGTTCTGGGGATAATCAGTACTATGCGTAAGTTCCATTCCACCACGAGAAAGAAGTAACATTTTCAAGTTTCTGTCAATTTTGATCAACTCAATAGGTCCACTAGAACCGAAGAATTTATAATTGAAACTGAGAGGTTGCAAACCCCACGTTATTAGAAAACAAAATTTGTCAAGTGGTTGAAAATTGATAATGAAAAGTCAGCCAATTCAATCACAGGGGCCCCACATATCTCAACTAAGGTCATTATTGTAATCTAAAACCTACGTAGACCCCGTTTTGGCGGCCTAATCTTGGATTTTTACCAATAAGAAAACCAACAATTCTATCGCTAATTAATACCTAAACCAATTGAAAAAGAAACGTGATATATTGTGAAATGTTAATATACTAAATTATCCCTGAATACAATCCACTACAGGGACTTAATCGCAAAACAGGGAAAAAGAGCAAGGGTAATTTAGTAAAAACAAAACAGGCAGTTTCAGTTTGGAAATCTGAGTAAATCTTGCCGATATCTCGGTAAAAACAACTGGCGTATTTCACTCATTGTCGCGCCAATGCAAAAGACCAGTTCGCCGTGAAAAACAGTTACGACAGCCGGAGGAAAGATTTCCGGCGACAAAATGAAATCACGAGAAAGAAATGTAAAATTGATGTGGGAACGTACTGACCTTTGAAGATTTGGTGCTGAAGCTTCTGGAGAAGCGAGAGAGGGCAGAAGAGGAGCGAGAGGGCATCGATTGAGAACTGGATTCAGAAATTTCGCCGGCTGAAAGATCTGAAGGGCGTTGAGGCATGACCGGTGATTCGGAGGTTTGGGGCGGTTGAGAAAATAGTTTCAGGCCTAACGATTTCTTCAGCTTGCTCCACATAGCAGCCATATTCTTCGCTACTCACTCAATATGTAGAGATATATATTTAGACACAAAGAGAGAGAGAGAGAGAGAGATTGGGGGTTGTTCAGTTAGGGTTTAGTTTTGTGACTGTGCAGAGTTTGTGTATCTATCCAGGTAGGGAGGGACGATGAAGGAAAACAATAAGAATGTGGCCCAAGGCGCTTCTTCTACTAATAACAAATATCTCTAATTTTCGGTTTGATATTTAATTTTTAATTTATTTTTGTACTTACTATTATACGTAATTCAAGAATAAAAAAAATATGAGTTAACTACATAGATGACCCCTAAATTATGCTACCTTTTGTTAATTAAGTCCTCATACTAATTTTTGTGTCAATTTAACCCCTCAATTATATAGCTCTTCCATTCAAATTCTCTATTAACTTTGAAGAAAAGTCTCAGGCTAATCTCACTTTGCACCTAGACGAGATATTTTGATTTTTAATTTGTACATTTAAACATTAAAAAACGTAATTTGAATCATCAATGTTATGAATTAGTACTAATGCGAATCTGGCTTAGGCTATCGTTCAATTTTTTGTCATAACTTGAAACATGTGAATTGTAATTGTTTTAGACACAGGGTTTTGTTTAAATTCACAGACAGTTGGAGTTTCATGCGAGTTGCACCTAATATAGTTAGCCTCTATCTGATTAATAAAATTCTATTTTTGGTATATAAATCAGTGTCAAATCGATCACTGACAAAGGATTTGCAACGATAAACATATTTCATCCTCATACCCAAAATACTTGCACCTCACGTGTTTCAATTTATGACAAAAAATTGAATGGTATTCTAGATAAATTCATCATATTTGAAGTACAAATTGAGATTTTTAATATTTAAAAATATAAATAAAGAATTGAAATATATTTAGGGTGTAAAGTGAAATTAGCTCAAAAATCTCACTTGATTGTGTAAAGCAATTCCACATAATTAATTGCGCTGACATGTCCCGTTATTCAAGCATTACAAAATTGTGAACAGATCAATGACACTTGAAAACTGACATGTATTTTTAGTAAAATTATTTTAATATAATTTTATTAATTTTTTTTGTTACAAATAAAGGTTTAGTACAAGGGTACTAAGGTGCATCTTCTAAAAACAAGCTTATAAATTTCAGATAAACAAATGAATTAAAAATTTTAATAGAATTTCTTAATTTTTGATAAATTAACTAGGAATGACCGAATTAGAAATTAAAATATCCGTGAAAATAGTAGAAGCACCGCATACATGAGATAAATTAAAAGAGAATAGACTTAATTGATTTGACCATATTTATCAACAACATACTATAGTAATAGTGGAAGAAAAAAGTAATATAATAACTATTAATGGTAAGCGAAGGTAGATAAAGATTAAAATTAAATTTAAATAAAAAAAATAACAAAGGTGATATTATAACTATTAACGGTAAGCGAAAGATAGATAAAGATTAAAATTATATTTAAATAAAATAATAACAAAATATATGATAGTTTAGGGTGTAACAGAAACTATGATCATCAATAAAGCCCAATTACAAAAGCATAATTCATGTAATCGACCAAAATTTATTGACAATTCCATATAATTGATCTAGGTTTATATATGTTATGTTATCGTAGCATTGCAAAATTGTGAAGAGGTCAATGACAATTCACAAGGACCAATACTTAGGTGGTGACATATTTTTTTAGTGAAACATCTTTCGATATATTTTTACTCGGTGGCAATTTTATCTATTAACTCGAACTTGATCCGATCCAACATAAAATTTAAAAATAATACGATTAGTTTACACAAGTAATAAATGGGTTAAATTAATGTTGGACACGATTAACAGCTACTGTACATAGAAAATAAGTATTTAACGAATATTGTAGACAAAAAATAAGAATTTTTTAAATTATTTAAAATTTTTAAATAATAATATATGAATTACTGTGTAATTAAATAATTTTTTTATTGACACGTATCGAAAGTGATCTGACACAAAAATAACATGATAAAAAATTACACAACACAAAAAATGATGCGAAACGAACGACACCCATACGAAAACTATAGAGTTTTTAACAAAAACAATAGGAAAAATTTAAAATAAGTCCTATTTTTTTTTTGTTATAAATAACCAAAAAATTCTAACATATTTCTATTAGTTTTACTTTTAATACTTTATTCCCATATATAAAATCTTAAATGGGACTTCCATATTCCTTCTTTACTCTTTCCCTATAAATCATTAAAGTGTCATTTGAGTTTGGATCACCATTTGCTCTAGGCTTCTACCAAATCAAATTATTATTATTAATTTAAAAACTCTTATTGAAATTTGATTTGAATATTTAACCGAACTCATTTTTACAATTTATGCCAATTTGTTAAAAATTAGAATTTCGACTTTGAATATTTGATACAATCGGCACAATTCAATTTAAAATAAGTTTACTAAATTACATTTATATTTTAACTCAATTTGATCAAAATAATTTTTCAAAATTATGACTTGGTTGTTTTAATATAAATATATCATAGGAGTTAATATATTTTTTAGGTAAAAAAATAAAACTTGTTGATGATTTTTCTAAACAAATATTTATAATTTTCGATTCAAACCTTACCGCGCGAGAGAGTCTTTGTGTAATAATGAGCCTTCTTCTTTCTTCTTCTTCGTCGGCTGGGACATAGTCTTTTGTATAGTTGGGCATTTTACATTACAACCAAACGGAGTATTTTCTTGTCTTATTTAGCCAGACTGTCAGAGTTATGGGCGTTAATTGTAATCTTTCCAAATCAGTTTGTCAATCCACGTCAGTTGAGGGTAAGGCTGTCCTATCAATAATTAATTCTTTGGGTCATCTCAAATCTTAATCAAAATTGAGAAAAAAAAGTTTAATTTGATAACAATTTCAAATTAAAAATAGGATAAACTCAAAACATGGTGAAATATAATTATAACATCTATTAAAAAAATAAAATTTGATCATCGGAGATTTGTCATCCTTTGGTGCAAGTTTATAGAGGACTGGTGGTTGTTTTTAGCTTATTTTTACTCAAGTTTAAATATAAGTGAAGCTTAGAGTTATTTTAGTACTATATATACTAAAATTAAATTATAAAAATTGGGACTAAGTCCTTTGAATAAATTTATAATGACTTGAGTTCGTCAAAAAAACTTATTTGATGATAAGTCCATTTCTTATCTTACTAATAAGTATTTAAGTCTACTATTTTTTCAAATCTCAAAAATACCATTAACAATGTTATTCTGTTCAATTATATAAATCTTAAAAACTTTCAAATTAATTTTAAATTAATTTCTTAAATTAGAAATTATTATCCCTTAATTCAATTTTAAATTAAAATTCAAATTTATATTCTCTCTCGTTAGAAAAAATATTATCACTCTAGTACAATAAATAATTCTTTTTAGATATCATTTCTTCTTCCATAACATCAAAATCAATAAGATTTAAAACATCATCAATAATTACTATATCTTATAATGTGTAATAATCATCATGAACTTTTATGTCGTTGATTTAAAAAAAAAATGTTAAAAAATTTGCTCAATATGTTATTAGTTAGATCCCCAATTTTTTTTGTAAATAATTCCCAATTTTTTTAAATTTTTCATGTTACTACGTTTGTGTTGTTGACCATGTTACTATTTTTTCTAATTGATCATATTACTTTTTTTTCATGTTAATACTTTTTTATTAAATATGTTATTATTTTTATTGAATATGTTACTATTGTTATTTTTAAAAATATTAATATTAAATATTATTATTTTTTTATGTTTTAATATTAATAATTTTTTGTGTTTAAATAATATTATTTTTTGTTTTTAAATAATATTTTTTTTATATTTGAATATAATAAAGTATAGCTGAATTTGAATTTTAAAAACAAAAAAAAAATTTAAATTATTTTGAAACAAAATATAAACGACGCACAACGTAAACCTATCATAAAAGACAATTCAGATTATTACATAAATATTGAAATCATTTTCCCACCCAACCACGTTTACTCTCTCTCTCTATCCCAATCTCTGACGCCTGTGTTCCTGTACGTCTCTCACTTTTACCTCTCTCTCCCTTAATCTCTCGCGCCTCTACCTCTGTACGTCTCTCAATGACTTTTCGCAGTCTACGTCTCTCACTCAGTCCCTAAAATACATATCTCCCATTTTCATATCTATACCACGTATCTCTCTCACACTCTTTCTCTACCAACGACCTCGCCACCTCCACCTCCACCTCCACTTCCACCGGTGATACCAGGTTTCGCTCTCTCTCCCACTCTCTATCTCTGTTCCTCTATTTCCTCAGTTTTCTTTCCCTCCTACCTTTCTACCAGGTACTCTCTCTCTCACTCCAACCCAGAGTCCCCAACCTGAAAACTCAAAATTGTCTGAAATTGCCCGCCAGCGAAACACCACTGCCGCCTTAAGAGGTATCTTTCTCCTTTCTTACTATGTTCCTCTCATTCTCCTTTTCTTTTGTACACTGTAAGCCACCACCCCACACCCCTTGAATCTCTATCCCCACATCACAACACTCCGACGACTCTCTCCCCCCTCTTTTTGTTCCCTAAAACTGCCTATAGCACACACACACTCTCTTCTTCAAAATCCCTCACAGCACGCACATAGCACCGCGACCATGATACCCCGTCACTCTTTGCCTCCACCCCTTCATTTAATCAACACACACCAGCTGTTCGATTGTTTGCTGCAAAGAAAATACACATATTTCTTTGCTATATTTGTCCAATATATTCGGTATATGGCTATTTTGTAGTTTGATGAATTTTAGTGATTGGTAACAGGGTGATCAAATTGTGTTGTGTTTAATGGAGGAAAAAATGTCATCAAATGTGGGGAATGCATGGGGAATACTTCCCAGACAGTGTTTTTAGGTAGTGAGTTTTTAGTGTCCAGTTCTCTTTTCATATTTTTCTCTGTTTGATTGCACAAGTTTTCCAATAAAAGCTCAATACAATCATCCAATCAATATCAGTAAAGGAATCTATATATTCATTTTTGTTTTATTGGCTTTTTGGCATCCGAGTTGTTTGATAATATGTGTAACTGATGGTGTTTTGCCTTATTTTTTGAATAATGAGGAGTA